GCACAGGTCCACTGATTTCAGGGCCAGCTGCTTTTTCTGTCATGCCAGGAACTGGTTAAACATTTTCTTCATCAGTCAAGCAGAGTTTGTGAAGTTTTAACCAATTTCTCCTAGAATCTTTTTAAAGAACAATGAACAAATCTCAAACAATGAAATGACAAGATCCTAGCTGTACTGACAATAGGAAAAAAAATAGAGGAAATGAATTAAAAGATGGATATGAGTCTCTCCTTGCCATTCCTGCAAGCCATGTTAATTATGTTCCATTAACATTAAACTGTCAGGGTCTGCTTGAGCCAGTTAGCTCTAACGACCTTCCTCAGTCTGCGCCTTGTTACTCTCCCATGTTTCATGTTTAGGAGGAGAGAAGACTCCAGCTGCTCAAAACTGACAGAACTTAATTTACATTTGGCCTTCATTAGGAAGAGAGCAAGAATCATTGAGACCAAATGGAAAAGCTAGACTCGTGGGGGTTATGAAAAATTCACATGGCATTTTTCCTTTTATCTGACAGTTCTGATTAAGGAAACATCCATCATCCTGAGACACATAGACCTTAAGTATAAGGGACACACTTAAAATTCTACACTGCGAGGCAAGACCCGAGGGCCAGAGGGTCTCTCTCTAGAGAAGGGCTAAATTGGTCTTAGAAAGTCTACATGTCTTCTTGGCAGACTAAACTGGACATCTGGGCCAGTGACCTTTGATATCTGACTTCTAGAAACAAGAGGGCAATGAACCACATTGAGAGCAGAGTGTGTTGACTAGCCCACTGCACTCAAGACATGTGAATGTGTGCTCTGGTCCTGAATATATGCCATGAAAAAATGTCAAAAGTGTGTTATTCCTTTGTCTCAAGCTCTTCCATTTGTAGAGGAAGTGAAGTGTACTATAAAGGCAGGTCAACATAATGGAAAAAACACTAGACTCAAATCCCATCTCTAACGCTAGCTGTGTTCCTTCAGGTCCCAGTTCAAATCTCCCCTTCTAGGGGAAACCTTTCCCAAATGCCCTTAATTCCAGTGACTTTCCTCTGCTGATTATTTCCAACTTATCCTGTATACATATACATGAATGTATATATGTATGTATGCATGTATACACACATATATAATATAGTTATATAACTTGTTTGTATATGTCACATATATACATATATATGTAATATGTATATTATATATATATATATATGTCCATATAGTTTCTTTGTACCTAGTTGCTTATGTGCTATCTCCCCTATTAAATTATGAACCCCTTGAGGGTAGGAACTGTTTTTGCCTTTCTTTGTATCGCCAGAGTTTAGCCCAGTGCCTGGCACATAGTAGGCGCTTAATAAATACTTGATAACTTGACTTTATTTGTGTGGCTTTGAGAAGGTCTCTTCTCTCCTGCTAGGCCTGTTGCTTCTCCTATAAGATTGGGTTATCACTATGTTCACTATTTATCTCATGGGTTGTTGTTACAGCAATCTGTAACAATTATAGAAATGGGAGTTCTGAAAAATGGTGTAGAAACATGAGTTCTTGGTAAGAAAGACTGTTGTTTCCTGGCAGAGTTGTTTTCAAGATGAGAGAATATAAGGTTAAAGTTGGGAGAGATCTTGGCAGACATCAAATCTGACTTTTCCTGCAGGGAAATAGTTGTTCCTATGTACATGTCATATGCCCCAGTAGAATGGAAGCTCTTGGAGAATAAAGACAGGTTCAATCTTGCCTTTACCATCATTACCTGCAAAAGAGTGGACAGCAGGCTTATTTGCAATGAGGGAGAATTGGGCCAAAGTGGACCTTGAATATTTATTTGGCCAAGTGGAAAGGATACTGGTTTTAGAATCAGAAGAACTAGGTTCAAATGTTAGTGCCACAAACTTAAGACCTGTGTGACTTTGGACAAATTATTTAATTTCTTAGTACCTCAGTTTCCTTGTCTGTAAAATGGATGAACTGGACCAAATGACCTCTGAGATCCCTTCCAGCTCTAAATCCGTGATCCCATGATTCCCTAGTTAAGACTCTGTCTAGCTTTGTGATCCTGAGTCTTGGGCAACCTGTAAGACTCCCCCACTAACTTACAAATGTCTTCAATCTCCATCAATGGAAGAATTTTCCATGGTGATGAATTCATAGATACTTGAAGTATTGATGATATTATTTTCAATATTTGCCACAGTGTAGGTACTTAATGAACTCTCCATCAAAATGAAGTGGAAGCCACTGAAGAAAAAATAGCTTAAACGGAATGTCAGAAGCACCTTAAATATTGACTTGAAGAATGATAGATGCAGAGGTGGAAGGGACCTTGGAAATCACCTAGTCTGATTCCCCCATTTTGTGAATGACAAAACTGAGGCTTGGAGAAGGGAAGTAACTTGTCCAAAGTCAAAAAGGCATCAAATGACAGAATTAGGATTTGAGTCCAGATCTGTTGATCCCAAATACAATGGCTTTTCTAATATTACACTGATCTGCTATTGTGAATAGACAAAAATAATAATAAATCTCAAAATTTTATACTGGATGCTACTTTGGGTTTGCTAAAATTAAAAAAAGGAACCACTCAACAAAATTAATCCCCATTATGTTAAATATACTAGAGACCACAGATTGCAAAATTGTCCACTTTGTAGATGAGGGCAGCTAGGTGGTGCAGTGGATAGAATGCCAGCCCTGGAGTCTGAAGGACCCGAGTTCAAATCTGGCCTCAGACAGTTACTAGCTCTATGACTCTGGTTGCCTCAGTTCTCATCTGTAAAATGGGGACAGAATGGAGAAGGAAATGGCAAACCACTCAAGTATCTTTGCCAAGGAAACCCCCAAAAGGGTTCACAAAGAGCCAGACATGACTTAAAAACGATTAAACAACAACATTTACATAGATTATCTCATTCCTCACAAAGTTGGGAGTTAGGTACTATTTTATAGATAAGGAATCCAAGGTTGAGAGACATGTCAGGGTGACAGAGCCAGTAAGTGGCAGGATTCAGACTCAAGTCTTCCTGACTGCAGGTTCACTAGTCTATCTATTACAGCACTTAGCAGCCCCTACTTATGGGCTAGAACAGGGATCAGACAGATACACCAATAACCACGATCTATAAAAAAAAAAAATGTGGCCTATACAGAAGAATACAGTTAAAATGCTGTTCAGGTCCTGGGGGAAGCAAAGAATGTTGTCTAAAGAGGCCATTTGGGTTGAATAGGAAGTCACCAGGCAGAAGATGATTATTTATAAGCTTCAGAGGAAATCTGGATCTTCTTAACTTCACATATTAATTTCAGGGAAGCTACAAATCTCCTTTGAGGATCATATACAATGAGGACATGTTTAGCATCTTATCCAATTACAGGAGATCCTGTGAAAATGTTGACATAAGGATGTAACAGGGAGGGCTTGAGATAATTATAACATATTTATACAGTGCCTTGCCAATTTACAAAGTACTCACCTTCCATCTCACGAGGCAGACAGTACAAATATTTTGTCAGAGTGGGGAACTTCATCCACCTAGGCTGATAGCAAGCCATCCATTTTAACTGTAGTAGTAAAGTCCTAGGGAGTTGTCTGAGACATATTGAGGTTAAGGGGCTTGCCCAGGATCCCAGAGCTTCTAAGTGTCTGAGGCAGGATTTGAACCCAGTTCTATCTGACTTCAACCGTAGCACTTAATTGGTAGACTATAGTCTTTGAATCAGAGAATCAGTAGTCCATATACTTGGGCACTTAGCTGTTCTGTAGTTGTCTTATGCAAGTTCATTTGTCACCCCAGTTAAATTGAAAGAACCTTAAGGGCAGAGACTATGTCTTATACTTCTGTGAACTGCAAAAAGGGGGGAAAAGGAAAAAGGGGGAGGAGAAATGAGGGGAGGGGAGATGATCTGCCCTGGTAACTTTGCTGTGCATTGATAGGCACCTCTGAGACTGCAGGGTCTTAGCTGAAGGGGAACCTCAGTGAATCTAGACACCAGCCAGGGAAACTAGTCTTGACTTGGAAGGGCATTGGGCCAATTACAATGTACCATATGGTCAGCTGACTAAATATTGAAACAACTCTGGATCCTAGAGTTTAACAAAGTCACATTTCTCATCCCAACCAACCTGAGGCTAAATACAGAATCTTTTTTTAGCTAAAAGAGACTTTACATATAATCTTCTTACAATTTACATTTATATAATAATATCTTAGAAGCTGCAAAATGCTTTATAGACTTTACAAGTAAGTTAGCTCATTTGAGCCTCACACAGGCAATAATGGTATTAGTATTAACATTTTATAGATAAGTTTCGGAGAGGGCAAGTGACTTGCCTGTGGTCATACAACTAGAAAGTGTCAGAGACAGGATTTGAACGAACGTCCTTCCTCGCTCCAAATTTATCACTATCGTGTCCAATTGTCTCAACCCTCTCCCTACCCCACAACATAAAAATTTCTCAGAAAAGGAAACTGAGGGTCAGAGAGATATAATAAATTGAATACAATAATAATGGGCAAGGTTGAGATTAGAATTCAAGGCTTTTGGACTCCAATATTTCTCCCAGTGAACCAAGCTATGGGATTGTCTTCTTTTCCCCTTAGGCTGCTGGAGTAATTGAAATCTCCACCTAGCTAACACTTTATAGCCAGGGCATGAATCACACCAGGCACTGCTCATCAGGTAGATTCTCAGCTCTCTAGACCGCCTAGGGATTTCCAAGTCTATTGGGTTTCTCAGGGACTTGAAATTTTTCACTCATCCATCTCTAATCGGATCCATTAAACTGACATTCCCTTGCTGTGCACTTCATAAAAAAGAAGGTTGAATTCCCTGGAAATTTGTTTTCAAATCACCAAGAAATGCTCTGGCTAAAGAATACCAAATCATCTCAGACCCAGAAACTTGAATTCAAATGAGAAAAAAAGGAATTTAAGGTTAACAGAGGCAAAGCTCTTGACTTTACTGAAAGAGTGAGCTAGGTTTGATTGCGCCACTCCCTTCTCCCAAACTCCCATTCTGGGTACTCACCTCCTTAAGCCATAGAAGTTTAGGAGGCTGCATCTCCACAGACATCACCCCTCCAACAAATTTCAGAACTTGATGTCTGGTTCTATTTATTCTCTCTACTTGACTGGCTGCACGGTGGTCCATCCACATGATGATATTTCTATTGGAGTCCCCTGATACAGAAGGAGAGGCACAGAGACAATGAGAGAGAGAGAGAGAGAGAGAACAAAAAAGATCAAGGGACAGAGACAGAAAGAGACAGAGAGAGAATGCAAGAGACAGCAACAAAGAAAAAACAGAGAGGCAAATACAGACACAGGCAGACACAGAAAAAGACAAAGACAGAGAGAAAGCAATAAAGTGACAGAGAAGAGACAGAAAGACTGAGGCAGAGAGACAGCAAAACAGACAGAGACAAAGAGAGGCAAAGATAGGCAGAAATATAGACACACAGAGACAAATAGACAAGTAGAGACAGTGAGAGATACAGAAATACAGAGAAAAAGCTCAATGAAGAAAGAAAGAGAAGGCAAGAAACAGCAAGAGACCCAGAGAGTCCTGTTCCATACAACAAGAATTTGAGCACCTGTATTTAATCAGCCAATTAACAAGCATTTAAGCCCCTGCTTTGTGCAAGGCACTGTGCTAAGTTCTGGGGATTCAAAGAAAGGAAGAAAAAAAAATCACCAGTGTCTGCCCTGAGGGAGTCCACACTTTAAGGAGAGAGACAGCATACATACAAATTGGTACTTGAGCTATAAATTCAAGGATTGAAAGTTCCCTCAGAGTAGAAGACAGAAGCAGCCATGGGGACCTGCAAAGGCCCCTGAAGAAGGTTTAGATTTGAAGCTAAGATCGACTGTTAGATAGGAAGCTAAGAGTCCGAGGTTAGGAAGGAGAGAGAACATTCCAGGCAGGGGGGACAGCCAGAGCAAAGACATGGAGATGGGAGGTGGAGATCAATGTGTTCGAGGTAGAGAAAGTAATCTAGAGTGATTAGACCATGGAGAGTATAGAGAACAGCAGTGGTGTCAAACTCAGATGGTAACAGGGGCCAACCTGTGTAGCAGGATGCCTCCCCAGGGGCTGCAGATTGACCCAGTTTTAAAATGTAACATTATCTATGTTTCATTGTATCTTTACTTATTTTGTTAAAATTTCTCAACTACATTTTAATCTGGGTTGAGACACATGCAGGAGTGTTGTGGGCTGCATGCAGCCCAAGGGTGGTTTAATACCTCTAGAATACAGTGTAAAACTAGAGATGCCAGGCAATATTCGAGGTAACGAGGATGCAAAGATGAAAAACAATATGGTAATTGTCCTCAAGGAGTGTATACTCTAATAGAACAATTAGGACATGCACCCAAGTAGGGATGATAAAACCAAGGTCTGCTGAGAGGAAGGCAAAAGTTGGAGGAAGGGGTCAAGAGGGATTCTGAAAAGAGAGGGATCACCTTCAGTTGGGAGGAAGAGGAAAGGCTTTATGGGGGAGGATAAAACTGCGTAAAGACCTGAAGGACTTCAAAAGATGGTAACGTAGAAGGAGTGTATTCCAACCATATGGGATGGACTAAATGAATACCCCAGGGTGGGATGAGGCAGGATAAAATTGGCAGTGTATGTAGTAGTTGTTTGCTTGTCTTTCCCATTAGACTGTGAGCTCCTTAAAAGCAAGGACCAGTTTTTGCACCTTTGTATCCTCGGCACTTAGCACAACGCCTGGCATAGTCCATGCTTAATAAATGCTTCTTGGTTGACTAACTTTTAGCTCAGTTAATGGGGAAAATATATTTCATGGCAGTGAGTAGTATGAAATAAGACTAATGAAGTAGGCTGGAGACATAGACTGTGAGGGCTATGAAGACCAAACTTAGGAGTTTTTGGTTTCTGCTTAAAGCAGGAAAGAGCCTCAGTATCTCAGAGTTCACCAAGAATGTGACATGCCCATTGAGTGTTCATTCAGCTTAAAGACCTCCAGGGATGAGGATGCTTGGCAGGAAGTAACAATGGGGAAAGTGATCCCCTACCTGCCAAAGCAGCTTAGTCAACATCTGGACAGCTCTAGTGAATAAGAACGTTTTCCTGGGCAAACCCAGATGCCTCTCTGCACCTCCCATCCCATTGCTCCTAGTCTGGCCCTTTTGGCCAAGCAGGACAAGGCTAAGCTCTTGGCCCCCTGGCAGTCCTTGAAATACCTGAGGACCATTATCATACCAAAGCACTCATTCTGCTAAACTATATTTTTATCTATGACACTTTGTCTTCTCTTTTCCCATCTAAATATTGCTAGCCCCTTCTCATCTACATAAAGGCTTTCCTGGTCTCCCAGGACCTTCTCTCTGAGACTACCTTCCATCTATCCTGTCTATATCTGGAACATGCATGTTGCTTGCATAGTCTCTCCCCCAATAGAATGTGAGTTTCTTCAGGGTAGGGTATGTTTTGACTTTCCATTGTCTCTCCAGCGCTCAGCACAAAGCTTCACACATGGGAAAACCTTTATGCTTGTTAAGTGGCTAGCTTCAACCTATGGCAGAATCTCAAGATCTTTCACCGTCCTGGTCACCCTCCTCTCCAACTCAGTTCCTAAAATGTGGTGCCCAGAATTGAATGCCATATTTTACAAGGACAGAAAAAATGGAATACTCACCTCCCCACTATAGGGCAATCTGTCTCTCTCTTAACTGCCATCTAAGATTTCATTAGCTTTCTTGGATGCCAAATCACAATGCAGGTGAGGATTGATGTTGTAGGCCACTATATCCCCCAATCTCTTTTTTTTTTTCAGAAAACAAACAACTTTTCTAGCCCTATCTTGTTCTCAGATTCAAAAAATTAACTTTACAAGTGTAAAACTTAACACTTGTACAGACATTTCTGACTTGTCGGTTTCCCTCATATCCAATCGGTCACTCATCTGTGAGTCTTCTCAATACTACTGCACAAAAAATCTCATACACATGGCCTTCTCTCACCTCCCAGAGCCACCACCTATGGTCAGGCCCCCATTGCTTCTCACCAAGACTATTTCAATAACTTCTCCATTGGTCTCCCAGACTCCAAGCTTTCCTCATCCCAATCTATCCCTTACACAGCTGCCCAGCCTACCTTCTCAAAGGCTCAGACCATAGGTTATTTCCTAGCTAAAGTAACTCCAGTGACTAAATTTTGTCCCCATTAGGCAATTAGAGATTTGGTCAATCTGGCTCCAACCCTCCTATTCAGTATTGTCTCTCATTATTATTCTTCATATACTCTTCATTATAGTCAAGCTGCCATGCTCAGTCTTCCTTACACTCACTATTCAATCACCTTTGCACAGGCCATTCATCATCATCATCATCATCATCATCATCATCACTAGCGTTTATATAATTCTTTAAGGTTTGCAAAACTCTTTACAAATATTCTCCTATTTTCTCCTCACAACACACTCAGGAAGTAGGTGTTATTATGATGCCCATTTTACAGATAAGGAAACTGACACTGAGAGAGAGGTTAAGTGATTTTCTCAGGGTCAATGACATAGCTAATATCTGAGGATGGATTTGAATTCAGATCTCCCTGACTGTAGATCCAGAGTTCTATCCACTGTGCATTCTAGCTGCCTTATGCCTGGAATGCACTCCTTCCTCACCTCTTCCTTAGAATCCCTAGATTACTCAAATCTCACCTCCTACATTAGGCCTTTCCTGTTGACCCAGCCACCAGTGCCTCCCTTTACTCAGAATATATTTTATATTAACTGATTTGGGCTCACCGCAATATAATGCAGCCTTTATTTTTGTCTTTTGGTCCAGTACCCAATATGGCACCTGGTATTTAATAAATGTCTATTGACTAATTAATATTTGTCTATTAGATTTCATCTTATTCAATATGACCCAGAGTTCTTAATTGTTAAGCTCTCGTAACCACAAGCCATGAAGGCTTTTGAGCAGGGGAATACTGTAGTCAGATCCATTTATTAGAGAGAAGGGAGGGGAAGAGTGAGATGGAGAAGAAAGGAGAGGGGGCAGACAGGGAGAGAGAGAAAAACAGAGACAGGCAGACAGAAAAATAGGAAAGGGAGACAGATGAGAGATGGAAGACAGGGAGAGGAGGAGGGGGAGAGAGGAGAGAGAGAGAGAGAGAGGAGAGAGAGAGAGGGAGAGAGAGAGAGAGAGATCCATTTCAGCTATAAATTTCCAGCTGTTAAGGAGTGTATAGCCTTTCTATAGATTTATAAATGTCATGAGCAGTAAAAATGAAAGAATGATTGAGGGTCATAAATGCATTTTACTGAAAACTCATGTGCTACTTGGAGCATCCTTGTTGGCTCTCTAACCTAGCCCCAGGGATCATTCTGAGTCTAGCTAAAGGCATCTCCTTAACTAAAAACCATTCAAGATCTACCAACATTATCAAATTCAATGACTCAAAAAAAAAAACAACCTTTTTTCCTTCCTTAACTTTGATAGACTTAGCTCTTCTCAGCAATGCAAAGATCTAAGACATCTCCAAAAGTTTCATGATGGAAAAATGCTATCCACATCCAGAGAAAGAACTATGGAGTCTGAATACAGATCGAAGCACACTATTTGATCTCTTTTTTCTTCTATCTTGTTTTGTTTCTTCTTTCTTATGGTTCCTCCTATTGGTTTTAATTCTTCTTTAAAACATAACTAATGTGAAAATATGTTTAATAATAATATATATGTAGAGCCTGTATCAGCTTGCTCGCCATCTTGGGGAGGGAGGTGGGAAGGGAGGGGGAGAAAAATTTAAAACTCAAAAGCTTAAGGAAGTGAATGTTGAAAACTAAAAATATATAAATTAATTAAAATATTGTTTTGGACAAGATTAAGGGAGAAGTTAAAGTGTCCGTAATGATCTGGTACCCTTATATTTGTCTTTTCAAATCATTCACACACACACACACACACACACACACACGCACGGACATATATGCACACATATACCCACACATGCACATGTACACACACACACAACCGCAATGCACATGTGCATGTACACACACACTTACATACACATACACACTTGTGCATACATGCACACATGCACACATGCATGCAGATGCATCCTGCACCTGTGATTTGACAGAATCTGAGCATTGGCAGAGTCCTCAGCAGTCATCTAGTCTAACCCAGGCCTGAAAAACACCCTCCAC